GTTGCACAAATAACGATGCAACTCACCCCTTTATTTATGTCGATCACCCCCGATTCCAAACTTTTGTCCAGTGAGTGACAGGTGACTACATGTGCTTTTAAGTAGGTCACACACAATACGTAACCAGATCCATTATCCGTTCAACAATTTTCCCACAAAATAATAACGGTAAAGTTTTTTCATAAAATCAGACTTCATATTTCACATGAACTAACAGAAATATGGAGAAGACGATGGAAAGTTTTCAAGAGCCCTCGGATGAAGAAAAACATTTTATTCAAAATCTAGCAAAAGTATATGACGATGCAACCAACAAACACTGGGACGATGAAGTAAAAATCATAATCGAAAACTACACAGCCAACCACCAAAAAACAAAAGAGGAAACATTTCAGTTACTCTTAAATTTATTCCCATCAACACCGACAAAAAATGATGCAATTCACGCCAGCCTAATTGGATTTTGGTATCAATATATAATAAGGATATCAAAAAACCTAGATAACGCGTTTACATACTACAAGATTGCTGCAGACCTTGGCGATGGCTTCGGAATCACGCAGTTGACAATGTTTTTCAATAAGATTTATGGCGAATCTATCGATACAAAATATCTAGAATATATTGAATTGGGGACAAAAGCTGGACATCCACATGCCATTTATAAACATGCTGAGTCGCAACCTATCAATAAGCGAGTTTACTGGTTTCAGAAGGCAGCAGAAAAGCAGTTCAGCCCTGCTGTTGATGAACTTGCTCGTTTTTACATTAAAGGTGAACATGTTAATAGAGATTTACATCGCTCCTTGAGATTAATATTGGTGAATAAACGTAATTGTGTACATACCTGGAGGCCAACATATGTACTGCATCAAATATTTCGAAATTACTATTAAATTTTTTGTTTAAATCAAACCGTAGCATAAATCACAATTAATAAATCAATTATTTAACGCAACATACCATCACAAGTAACTGTTTTAAGAATACAGTATCAGAAAACAGATAGCAATTTATCTTTTACGCTATTCAAAGACTCTCGACATAACGGTTCGGGCAATTAGAGAAAAATCCACTTTATCATAAGTAAACTCATTTTATCGAGTGAGATTTATGGCTCTACCCGTTATAACGAAAGTTTAATTAGTTTCCGCCTCTATATCGAAAGTCCGTTATGTCGAGAGTCACTGTATATACGGAAGAAGCAAAAAATTGCACGAGTTTAGTTCGATTTAAAGCTCTAAAAAATCGATCGAGGAAAGAATTTGTTAAATTAGCTCCTTTAAACTTTGACGACGTCGAATTGACTTTAATCATATATCCTATTGTTTGTTAAACATCGAAATTTAAAAAGGTCTTCGTCAGTTAACAAACAATAAACATAAGCATTTACCTCATTCTGTTTTTAAATCTATGTGAAAAAATAAACCTTGATTCTAACCGTATCGGCGTTAAAAGCTTCTAGAACTACAAAATACTCGAATGCGACACGTCATGCGACACAGTCTTTCTTTCGCTGATATAAATGAGCTGCTGTTTGGAGGAATTTAGTTTATTCGTCTTCGCCTACCCAATAGAGCCCTAAAGAGTGATTTTAGCGACGGATGTACCCCCTTGCTGGACATTTTTTCCGTTTTTGAGAAATTTTTAATTACGGCATTACATGATTTGTTTGGAAAAGTGCGAACCAATAAACTATCAAAAACATGAAATATCGGTATTATCTCTATTGATTCTAACGTTAACACACATTACTACCGGATACAGTACACGATAACATTGTTTTATAATACACATTATAAGATAATATTATTATGCTCAAATAAGCGAACCAATTCAACGATTGCCTCATTGTCACCATTTTTATGAGCTCGATAATTATATAGGATTGCGGCGTGTATATCGGTGTTTGTTCCCCATCTCCGAGAATAGCATAATGCCAACGTAAATTGGCCGATACAAGCCGCTGTGGAATTATTGTTGCTGTTGCTGCTATTATTGCTACTATTATTTCCGCCGTGGTTGCTACTATTAGATGAAGAGGAGGCGGTGATAGAACTAGCTCCTTTATGCGCCCAATAGAATCCCTTGCGAAAATCTTGCGTGATCCCCGTACCGAAAAGATAAAAATTCGCGACTGCAAACTGGCCTTGACAATCACCAGCGAGCGCCGCCTTTCGATACCACTCGAAAGCACGCGCAAGGTCTCGATCTGTTCCGATTCCATTCTCGTAACAGTATCCGAGCATGTATATCCCATCGATGTTGTCCATGTAAGCTGCTTTTTTGTACCATAGCAACGCTTTTTTTTCGTCTTTTTTGATTCCTTCCCCACACCGCAAGCAATCGGCGTAATTGTATTGTGCTTGCGCAAAATCGTATTCGGCTGCCTCTTTGAACCAATATACACCGGATGCTTTGTCTTCTTTACAGCCGATCCCTCGATTATAAAAGTAACCGAGATTGCACATCGCCGCAGGATTTTTTGCTTTAGCGGATTTAATGTACCAATCGAATGCCAACTTATCGTTTTTGGCAACACCAATCCCGTTGAAAAAGCAGTATCCAATGTTATATTGACCTCGTGAACAACCAAGCTCGGCACTTTTTCTGTACCAATGTAATGCTTCCTGTGCGTTGACAGCCACTCCCCGACCATCCAAATAACAATTTCCCAGCGAAACCTGCCCAAAAATGTCGCCATTTTCTTTTGTAATTTCGTAACATTCGAACGCTTTCTGTTGATTTATTGTTGTTCCGACTCCATATTCATAAAGAAATCCCAATGTTCCCGCGTAAGTCCAATTGAATGGATCCCGCGATAATATCTGAAAATATTCTTCGAGATCT